GTAATTTTTTTAATAATACAATTTATGTTTTAACATGAAATTTTAGACTAATATTTATGATTTAATTTATTTGATATATATTAATTTTTTTATTAAACCGTGGTTTTAAACCACACCAAATCAAGAAAAAAAATGGTTTGGTTTAGAAATCAAAGTGGTTTGATTTGGTTTGAAAATATTTCAAATCGTTTTAAATGGTTTGATTTGAAAATTTGTCACAAAATGTTCAAATCGAACCGTGTTCAACCCTACATATACCCTTTTTTGTCTCATTTCATTGATATTAGACCTGGATATATCGGAGTAGCCTAATTGTTAGTAAATTAAAGTATAATATGTGATTGCCATCAATTAAAATTTAATAATCTGATCATAAGTAAAAACAAAATTCATTGCCCCCAAATGAAATTTACCAGTAAAATTTTCTTTCTCAAATTCCTTTATTTGACCGTAATACGTACATAAAGGTTGACCCAATGTTTTACATCCATGTGAGTGACAAATTTTGGCACATTGATATTGACAATACCTTTTTCAATCATGACACTACGTCTTCGTATATATGTTTTGGGGCGAAAATCGTCCATTCCAACGAATTTTATCTAATTTAGCTCTCGTTTGACATCCTTAAATTTTTAAAAATGTAGTTTTACTAGTTTTGAATAGTATTTTTGGAGAACGTGAAGTTAAAAGGTATAAGTTTACATATTGAATATTTTATTCTGTGAATATATAATTGAAAATGAGTATGAAAAATAAATTAAATTAAATTAAAGGATATCTAACGGAGGTTTACAACCTTCAAATAATAGCAATTGAGTAAATAAACTAGGACGAACATATGAGGTGTTGTGACTTGTGAGGCCACAATAATTTTTTTTTATTTATGTTTTCATTGAAATTACATATTTACCCTTTATCCCTTAAAACAAAGTAGTCACGTGACGTTCATAGGGATATCAACGAGTTGAGTCGAAATTCAAAACTCGAGTTCGATTTGAGTAAAATGATGCGAACTTTTTTGAGCCCGAGCTAAGCCAAACTTTTACTCGACCAAAAAATTTAGGCTCAACCCGAACTTTCGGTTGGGGCCTTACCGAGCCAAGCAGGCTCTATGTTTTCCAATATTTTTTGCCTTTTTTTTTTTGATCCATGGGACGAGTGGCTCGTCATGGGCAGAAAATAGCCCATGACATGAGCCAACCCACATGACTACGACTCAAGCTCAGGCTGAGATCCTAAAATCGGTTTCGCCTGAACCTCGAGCCAAGCTTTTTTGAACTTTATTTGGACTGACTCACGAGCGATCCGAACCGACAAGCTAAATTGATACCTCTAAATGCTCATGTGATTATTTAAGCCACTATTTAATAGAAATTAAAATTTAAATTTTTATCAAAGTTAATAATTAATTTTAATTCATACAATTTATGGAATCTATAACTTTTCAATTACACATTTTATCAATTTCTATCGAAATCTCTCAAAAATCTAATTTTAATTTTCACCAAATGGGGACTAACAATCAAAGGGATGAAGGTTATCTAGCAATCGAAGGACAAATACCTACTTATTCTATTGCCGATATGATGGGGAACCAAACGCAATTAATTCTTCTTCCAACTGATGAGTAAAGCCCTTAGACTTCATGTCATTCAAAATGAAATTTTCTTTCTTTCTTTTTAACTATACATTTTTTAATAAAATAATATTATATATAAATTAAATTTTTTTTTTCCCAACTACACATTCTTCAAAAAATTATTATTTTAAAAATACATATTTTTTTTCAAAAATTTGATTTTAATCGGGCCAAACAAGGGCAAAGTGAATGATAATGGATCTCATCTCTCCCAATTTGGAATTTGAATTGTCTCCCTCTAAGCAAAAGAGACGTTACCGGCTTTTTAACCTTTTCTGTACTCACAATTATTATTTTAGTTTTACTATAAATAATAAAGACCACTTTCTTTATATTTTGTCTGATTCCTTTATTTTGAATATCTTGGAAACATTTTTACTGTGTCTCCACTTTTATTGCTTTAACTGTTCTATCCCTCTAACACTCTTCAGTACAGCCCCTACCTAATCACTGATCAGAACAGTTTCTCTCTCTAAAAGTCTCGGTTTGCCTCTTATTCATACATTTCTTGAATATACAGAGCTTTCAGCATTGAAAGTTTGCTGCTTTTGTTAGTAGGGGAAAGGTTAGAGGATCTTGATCTCATGTAAAATTTTCTTGATTTTTGACTTTTGACTTTTCTTTAATCTTTGATTGAAAATAAAAGAAGGGGTTTTATGATCTGGGGTTGATAAGACTTCAGGTTGTGTTCTCTGTGCATTTTGTTTATGTCTTGATTTAGATTAGAACAAAACTAATTCCATTTTAATGTATCTTGAAGCATGTTTGGTAGGATGAATTAGATGGAAGTGGACAATCATAAGTGTATCAATTATGCACTTACAGAACTTAGGCTGATTCTTATAATTTTGAAGTCATCCACTTTATTTAAGAATCAAATGACAAGTCTTGAATTCAATTTCGATTCATTGTTTTCTTAAGAACCCTAAATGGGGATGGAGGATATACATAATTTTAGAGATATGGGTTCTTAGATGGTTTTGATGTGAATAAGTCATGCAATAAAGGTGTGTTTGGTAGGGACGATTTGATAGTTAGGGATAGTGTTACGGAAGAAAAAGAAGATAATGACTTGTCCATTATTCTAGGTTCTGTGCGATATCACTTTTCAATGAATTTCATGATGAAAAGATTGAAAATCCATAATTATAGCACATAGGGAGATTGGGGTGAGCTCGTCCTATGTTAAAGCACAAGTCTTAGGCATAGGAATCTTTTGTGGAAAATAAAATTTAAAAGCAAAACATTGAAGGTGAATGAGTAGGAAATGCGTTTTGACAGTGGAGACTTAGGTGCAGCAAATTCTTGTAATCGAGCTATTACCCACCGTATCTTAGCTGCATCTATGCGATGTATAATTTAATTGAAGGTTGAATGAATTTTAATGCCAATATCATTAAAAACGTTTGGTTAGATGCCTTTTTATTTTGGCATGCCAATAATAACACATTGATTACTTACCATGTTCCATATCCATGGTTACCATAGAACCTCAGAACAGGACCCCTTTTTCGACATCTAAAGAATGTGCTCAAATTTCTTATTTTTCGTATCATTCTTTGGTTTAGAGCCCTCGATTGAGTGAATTTGAATATGAACATCTAATTCTGTTTTATCGACAACTCATTACTTGCTTACCATGTTTTTGCATCTAGTCTTAAACACAGGAACCTCAAGATTGATATACCTCTTTACCAATACAAGATGAACGTTCCGATTGTCTCATCTTTTTCGATTGAATTGCAGATCGTCTTTGCTATCACTACACCAGTTTGTGAAAACACAACTGTACTTGATATCTGTATGTGAATATGGGGATGGAGAAACAAGGCTCAAAAAGTGGAGGTTATGTTGGTGGCTTCCTTCAGATGTTTGATTGGAATGCAAAATCTCGGAAGAAATTGTTCTCGAGCAAATCCGACTTACAAGGTATGTGAGTATGTCTGAATTTGAAACTGTTGATATGTGGATTGGTCTAAATGATAATGTGTTCTTGTTTCTTTTATGGTTTATATATCACGTGTGACTATTTACGTGTTATGTTCACCATTTTACTCTTGGTGGCTTAATGACAATTGTTTTTTTCCTGCATTATGAAGAGCGATCCAAACAGAAAAAGATATGCGACGGAAATTTGCCAATGACTCGGCTTCATATGGTAATAAGATTTGGGAATGATTTTGGACCTTTTCTTTTCTTTTCTTTTTGTTTTAATTTTTCTTTCCATTGAACTGTATAATTGATTTTTGTCTTTAGTTGGACGATGATTTGATGGCACCCAGATCGAGTTTTAAAGGAAGTAGTGATTATAGTTGTGCGTCATCTGTCACAGATGAGGACTTCCGTGGAACTAAGACCCCAGGAGTTGTTGGAAGACTTATGGGATTGGATTCCTTGCCAAAATCCAATGTCCCAGTTTCTTACTCAACTCCACTTTTCGATACTCGATCCCTTCCTGAAATGCATTATTGTCCTAAAAATCTTAAATGTTTTCAAGATCGTGAAATCATTCACTCGAGAAGTTTGCACGAGTTACCTGGTAGAAATGTTTTGGAGCCAAAGTATCAGAAGCTAATAAGTAAGCCAATCGAAAAGTTTCAGACTGAAATTTTACCACCTAAATCGGCTAAATCAATTCCAATTACTCAGAACAAACTTCTATCTCCAATAAAAAGTGCTAATTTTATCCCACCTAAGGATGCTGCTCACATAATGGAAGCAGCTGCCCGAATCATTGAACCGAGACATCAGACTACTGCGAAAGCAAAAACAGTCCGGTCTTCCTCTGTTCCTTTAAGAGTGCAGGACTTGAAGGAGAAGGTTCGACAACCTCAAAAACCATCAAAGCGTTCTAAAGCTTCTGAGAAGCCAAGTGAATCTAGTGCTGTCCACAGTAAAGGACAACCTAGGATTAAAAGCTGGAGTGATTCCGTGGATTCAAAATCACTAAAAGTCTCCATGGATTCAGAAGAATGTTCTTCTGGTGTAAAAAGCACAGTAAAATCCATATCACTCGCACTACAGGCGAAGGCCAATGTTCAGAAACGAGAAGGCATAAATGTAGGTGGCAGCAGAAGTTTGGTCAGCCAGAATGAACAGAACGAGTTTACTTCAACGCCGTTGTTCAAAAGTCAACCAAGTACAAAAAAGAGTGTGCTTAAGAAACCATCTACGCACAATGGTTCAAGAGTATTTCAACAAAACAACCAGAAACAGAATTGTGTTCATGAAAGAGGAAAATCGCCTTCAGTAAAGCCCTTTGCTTCCAACTCGCAAGCTGGCGGGAAGGCGATCAGTGGAGATTCTTCTTCCGCAAGAAAAAAGAACTCGACTAAACTCACAGAAACATCTAAGGTTGGTTCCAGGAGGTCGAGTTTAGAGGGCAAAGATGATAGAACTCATTTATCATGTTCTAGTTCCGAAAGAGTTACCCGTAAGGAACAATCTACTTATGTGGAATACTGCTATGAGAAAAATCAGGCCGCTTATAACACAACGAACGATAAAAATAGGAAAATGATTCAATCCCGTTCTGTGGACGGACCAATTATTTGTGATAAAGATAACAGAAGGAAGGGAATGGACGTTATTTCTTTTACATTCACTTCTCCAATGACACGAACGGGACCTGGCCCTGAGAGCTCGATGGAGGTTGGGGATAAATGTGAAAGGACATTGGCAAGCTCTGATAGTTTGAATGTATCAAAGTTCCCTTCACCGGAACATAATATTTTGCGAGGTGATGAATTGAGCACCCTTTTGGAGCGAAAGCTAAAAGAACTGACAAGTGTTGTAGAGTTTCCCCAACATAGAGCAGAGCCCCCAAGTAGTACTTCGAATTCTCAAGATTTGGTGCCTTGCTTGAATGACTCAACAGCCTCAATCATGTTACACGATGGCAAAACTAAAGATGGAAGTGACAAACCTAATCCGGTTAGCCTACGTGACTCTAGCTTTTCAGCGGATCCTCAGGGTTTCAAAGCAAGAAATCAATGTGAGGTATATGTTTGATACTTATTGCTCTTAATTTTCATCTTATTTTCTTGAGATTATATCTGTTTATCCGATAAATGAATTTTCAGAAATGCTATCTAGGTATCTATACCATCCTTTCTACTATAACTACAAAATTTTCATAAATCAACTTAAGGTCATGCTATATACAGGGAGCGGAAGAAGAAATGGACCACTGCAGGAGCACAGTTTCTGAAGCCAAAAATTTACTCGATCCTTGGCTTCCTAGTCCAGTTTCGGTTCTTGAGCAGTCTTCCTCTGCCGAAAGTTGGAGTTCTTTGGATACTGTAGACAGTAGTAGTACAACAGGTATGAGAAGTGACTTCAATATTATTGGTGATATATCGATTATGATCTTTCTAGGTTTTCCAAACTGAACTGAATCGAGTTTGAAATGGAAATGACTAGGGCTATGTATAATCTGATGATCAACTCAATATATGAAAATAATTTGAACTTTGAACTAACTGGACATTTATTATCAATTCCAGGTAGCAGGCAGTGTTCATCAGTTCAAGCTCAAGAAGTGCGCAGTACATATTCTTTTAAAAAATTCGTTCCAACTGAAGGAGACACTGAGTTATCAGACTCAGCTTCTTCAATTTCCTTACCTGTGACTGCTTGTGGAAAGTCAATAGAATGGGAACTAATATATGTGAAGGAGGTAATGTGTAACATAGAGCTGATGTTCAAGGAATATGCATTAGGCCAGGCTCTTGAAATTATAAATCCAAATCTTTTTGATCAACTGGAAAATCAGAAAGGAATGTTGAATGGTTATGATCTTTTGCCTAGAATAGACCGAAGGCTTCTTTTTGATTGTGCAAGCGAATGCTTGGAGTCAAATTTCAGAGGATATGTTGGAGGGGGATGCAAAATATGGGCGAAGGGTGTTACCGTGATAAGAAGAAAGGAGAGGTTAGCTCAAGAAGTGTACCGTGAGATTCTTGGTTGGAGTTCAATGGGAGATTGTATGGTTGATGAACTTGTAGATAAGGACATGAGTAGTCGATATGGAAGATGGCTCGACTTTGAAATTGAAGCATTTGAACTCGGAATAGTGATAGAAGATCAAGTTCTTAATTCTTTGTTGGATGATGTAGTTGCTGATATATTGGTGATCTAGCATAGCAAAATCCATTTTTTATTTTGGATTAATCTTCCTATAGTACTGTTTCCTAAGCTCATCTAATGTTTGTTTGAGTAAAGTATTCAAATTCATGATTCAAAGGCGGTATACTGCAATAACAAACACTAAATTTTTTAATTTTTGGACTTGAATTTGTGAATCCTACAAAGTTTTTTGGTATATCATCCAACGCTTAAGCTTCTCAAACTGGATTTTCTTGTTCACACTCAAAATATTAATTACAAAACCACACGTTTCTAACATATTTTGTAACCACAAGAGAGAAAGCAACACGCTACTACTAAAGTTAATGCCTGATAACAATTTCATAAGAAATACTAATCTTATTACAACTTATATACATATTTCTTGGAAAGGAATCCAAGAAGATTACATCGTCTACTAAAGCAAATTTTATTCGCAAAACCACAACCATAAAGAGTCAGTCATCAACAGAACAAAACCTGTACATTCTCCTTTATTTATAGGTACTGGTGCTTCTTTAGATACCTTAAGGTGATGAAATTGCAAGTTCACAGAAGATCTATGACATCAAACTCTGAATCGGGATTCCGATGAACATGGAAGGAATTTTCGTAAATGAAATCATCTGGCTCCTCGTGAAGATGGAAACCACGCAAGTAACACTTACGAATTACAGCAATACCGCAGGGATCACACAGGTGAAATATGCCATAAGGACTGCAAAGAATCAAAAAGGAAATTGGAAAAAGAGAAAAATATATAGCCATGATTAGTACACAAACAAGATGGTCAAAAAATAAATATTGTGATAACGTAAACCATCCACAACTTCAAGGACACTACCCCAATATCCCCTATGCAAGCATAGAGTAAATTTAACCAATGCTCACTAAACTTTAAACTCGTTATTATTTACTCACTCATCTTCCACGTGTTATTGAATACTCACTCATCTTTTTATATAGTTACCCATCCACCACTCGTCTTTTCAAATAATTGGGCGATTTTTGCGCCAACTTTCCGACAACTTCCGACCATCAAGACCGTCGAATTTTGATACTGTTGGAAAGCCCATGACATCTTCTTCAATTACCACCCAAAATCTCCCCATAATTCCAAGGGACTCGACCGAAAAATTGCCGCAAAAGTCGCTCAAAAAATCTAAAAATCTGGGCCGATTTTTTGGATGACTTTCGCGACAATTTTTCAACAACTTTCGACCACCAAAACTGTCGAATTTTGATACCGTTAGAAAGCTCACAATGTCCTCTTCAATTACCATCCAAAATTTTTCTATAACTCCAAATGATTCGATCGGAATAAACCTACAAATTCAGTATTCCAAAAAGGCAAAAATCTGGACAGTTTGGGATGCTGACTTTGTGGGTTTATTCCGACCGAATTCTTTGGAGTTATGGGGAAATTTTGGGTGGTAATTGAAGAGGACATTATGAATTTTTCAACGGTATCAAAATCTGGCAATTTTGGTGATCGAAAGTATTCGAAAAATTGCCTCAAAAGTCGTCCAAAGAATTTGAAAATCTGGGCAGATTTTCAGATTTTTTGGGCAACTTTTGTGGCAATTTTCTAGTCGAATCCCTTAGAGTTATGGGAAGATTTTGGGTGGTACATGAAAAGGATGTCGTGAGTTTTCCAACGATATCAAAATCCTACAGTCTTGGTGGTCGAAAGTTGTCGGAAAGTTGTCGCAAAAATTGTTCAATTATTTGAAGGGACGAGTGGTGGATGGCTAACAATATGGAAAGATGAATGAGTATTCGGTAACGCATGAAAGATGAGTGAGTAAGTAATAACAAGTTTAAAGTTCTGGGAGCATTGGTTAAATTTACTCTGCAAGCATATATTCAAAGTAACATATATATACACTGAGTTATCAGACTCAGCTTCTTCAATTTCCTTACCTGTGACTGCTTGTGGAAAGTCAATAGAATGGGAACTAATATATGTGAAGGAGGTAATGTGTAACATAGAGCTGATGTTCAAGGAATATGCATTAGGCCAGGCTCTTGAAATTATAAATCCAAATCTTTTTGATCAACTGGAAAATCAGAAAGGAATGTTGAATGGTTATGATCTTTTGCCTAGAATAGACCGAAGGCTTCTTTTTGATTGTGCAAGCGAATGCTTGGAGTCAAATTTCAGAGGATATGTTGGAGGGGGATGCAAAATATGGGCGAAGGGTGTTACCGTGATAAGAAGAAAGGAGAGGTTAGCTCAAGAAGTGTACCGTGAGATTCTTGGTTGGAGTTCAATGGGAGATTGTATGGTTGATGAACTTGTAGATAAGGACATGAGTAGTCGATATGGAAGATGGCTCGACTTTGAAATTGAAGCATTTGAACTCGGAATAGTGATAGAAGATCAAGTTCTTAATTCTTTGTTGGATGATGTAGTTGCTGATATATTGGTGATCTAGCATAGCAAAATCCATTTTTTATTTTGGATTAATCTTCCTATAGTACTGTTTCCTAAGCTCATCTAATGTTTGTTTGAGTAAAGTATTCAAATTCATGATTCAAAGGCGGTATACTGCAATAACAAACACTAAATTTTTTAATTTTTGGACTTGAATTTGTGAATCCTACAAAGTTTTTTGGTATATCATCCAACGCTTAAGCTTCTCAAACTGGATTTTCTTGTTCACACTCAAAATATTAATTACAAAACCACACGTTTCTAACATATTTTGTAACCACAAGAGAGAAAGCAACACGCTACTACTAAAGTTAATGCCTGATAACAATTTCATAAGAAATACTAATCTTATTACAACTTATATACATATTTCTTGGAAAGGAATCCAAGAAGATTACATCGTCTACTAAAGCAAATTTTATTCGCAAAACCACAACCATAAAGAGTCAGTCATCAACAGAACAAAACCTGTACATTCTCCTTTATTTATAGGTACTGGTGCTTCTTTAGATACCTTAAGGTGATGAAATTGCAAGTTCACAGAAGATCTATGACATCAAACTCTGAATCGGGATTCCGATGAACATGGAAGGAATTTTCGTAAATGAAATCATCTGGCTCCTCGTGAAGATGGAAACCACGCAAGTAACACTTACGAATTACAGCAATACCGCAGGGATCACACAGGTGAAATATGCCATAAGGACTGCAAAGAATCAAAAAGGAAATTGGAAAAAGAGAAAAATATATAGCCATGATTAGTACACAAACAAGATAGTCAAAAAATAAATATTGTGATAACGTAAACCATCCAGAACTTCAAGGACACTACCCCAATATCCCCTATGCAAGCATAGAGTAAATTTAACCAAAACTTTAAACTTGTTACTATTTACTCACTCATTTTCCACGCGTTACTGAATACTCACTCATCTTTTTATACAATTACCCATCCACCACTCGTCTTTTTAAATAATTGGCAATTTTTGAGCCAACTTTCCAACAATTTCCGACCATCAAGACCGCCGAATTTTGATACCGTTGGAAAGCCCATGACGTCTTCTTCAATTACCACCCAAAATCTCCCCATAACTCCAAGGGATTCGACCGACGCAAAATTCGCTCAAAAAATCTAAAAATCTGGGCAGATTTTTTGGACAACTTTCGCGACAATATTTCAACAACTTCCGACCACCACCAAAACTGTCGAATTTTGATACCGTTAGAAAACTCAAAATGTCCTCTTCAATTACCACCCAAAATTTCTCCATAATTCCAAATGATTCGATCGGAATAAACCTACAAATTCAGTATCCCAAAAAGGCGAAAATCTAGACAGTTTGGGATGATGACTTTGTGGGTTTATTCCGACCGAATTCTTTGGAGTTATGGGGAAATTTTGGGTGATAATTGAAGAGGACATTGTGGGTTTTTCAACGGTATCAAAATCTGACAATTTTGGTGATTGAAAGTTGTCGAAAAATTGCCTAAAAAGTCGTCCAAAAAATCTGAAAATCTGGGCAGATTTTTAGATTTTTTCGGTAACTTTTTGTGGCAATTTTCTAGTCGAATCCCTTGGAGTTATGGGAAGATTTCGAGTGGTAAATGAAGAGGACATCGTGAGCTTTCCAACGGTATCAAAATTTGACAGTCTTGGTGGTTGAAAGTTGTCGGAAAGTTACCGCAAAAATCGCCCAATTATTTGAAGAGACGAGTGGTGGATGGGTAACAACATGGAAAGATGAATGAGTATTCGGTAACGCGTGAAAGATGAGTGAATAAGTAGTAACAAATTTAAAGTTCAGTGAGCATTGGTTAAATTTACTCTGCAAGCATATATATATATATATATATATATATATATATATATATATATATATTGTGTGTGTGAGTGTGAATGTATTTGTGGAGAATGGTCAAATGACCTTACGAATTTTTGGATTTATTTATTTATTATTATTTTTTAAACCTAACAACTACCCACTCCAATTGCCAAACTCAATTTCTCAATAGTAGCCCAAACTTTTGGAAAACTCAAATCCAATCACTATATCCATATCCATAATCCCATTCCCATAATCCATTTACTCATTTATCCAAATCCATAAGCCCATTCCCATAATCCATTTACTCATTTACACAAATCCAATCCAACTTATATAATGAGTTCCAATATTCCCAAATCAAATCCCATTTTTTTCCAAATTGCCAATTGTCAAATGTGAGTCATCACTCATCTTTCTTTTTTCAATATTCTTTTTCACTTTCCAATTTTCTCTTCGCCATCGGACCTCCACCGGGCCGTCCCTAAACAGCTCAGCCCCTGTTGCTACTCAATTACGGACTATGGTGGAAATTTTCATTTTCGATCCCATAGTTCAAAATGTCTGGATCCGTCCCTGCACAAGCACGTTTAGGAAATGTTTTATAAACTGTTTAAATTATAAATAGATATAAACGAATAGTGGATAGCACTAGTAGCTCCCATGAAATATGTGGGTAAAAAGTGATTTGATCAATTATAAACAATTTTTTTTCTTTGCTTACACAAGCATGTTTAGGAAGTGTTTATAAACTATTTAAATTATAAACAGATAGAAATGAATATTGAATAATGGATAACACTTGTAGATCCCATGAAATATGTAAATAAAAATGACTTGACCAATTGTAAACGGTTTATAAACACTAGCCAAACTATAGGCTTTTGTTCATAAAAGATTTAAATACAAGTCAATTCTGTAGTGAGAGAACTCATGCATTGATGTCTTCATTTTCATTTCAAGGTGTGCCAAATACACCCATTTTCCTCATATGAACTTTCAATTTCCATGCCAACTGTCACAGACCATTTGAACTTCTGTACCTTACACATCGAGGAATATGATCCAACAACCTTTTGCCAAATCTCTTAAAGACAAAATGGATAACAATTCAAAACATGCAGATTCAAGACCTTATTAAACTAATCATCCCTAGAAGTTAATACATTTAATTGTTTATGCAAGGATCACGTGAGCTCTTTCTTCTAGGAAATGCCAATTATGGGTGCTATTGGGTGTATAATCCACTTCTCACCCTAAAGGACATAGGATGCACACGTACTCAACAGTCAATCACAAGACATGCCCTTGACTAAGGCCCAATTTGATTTTTATTTTTATCAAAATAATTTTTTCTCTCTTTCTCTCTCATTTTTAATTACATATTCTTCATTAAAATAAATAATATTACACTTAAATAAAAAACTTTTCCTGATTTTTCATCCACATATTCTTCATCAATCTACTATTCTAAAATTTATTTTTCCATAAAAATGGGTGTCAAACACCAACTAAATTTTTCAATGATTGAGTGTGATGAGACATCCATTTTATTTAGGGAAAATTGCAGCCAAGGTACCAAACCTTTCGTTTATTAACAGACTTTGTCCAAACCTTTAGTTTGTGCCACAGTGAGTACCAAACCTTTAAAAAAATGTGCAGTTCAAGTCTAAATTGACAGTTTCCGTTAGTTTGACTCCAAAAACCGTCCGTTGACCTCAGAAATTTAAAATTTAATAATTTGACCATTTAAGACAAAGGCATTTTGGATAAAACACGTTTTTCCTATTACATCAAAACTTAAAAAAATAAAAATAAATAAAACCACAAACTATCTCCTTCTTCCCCAAATCAAAACCACTCCCAACCACTACATTCCCCGCCAGCAGCCACCACTACCAATCGGCAGCCGCCACCACCCATTTCTCTCAGTTGATAAATAATAGGGAAAATGTTTTGACAGTACCCATCGCCCCAGCCCAGCAGGAACGGGCCACCATAGTCAACCACCGAGGACTGCCAGAAAATCGCGTAAGTCCAGCTCTCATGGGCACCCTCGATCAACGTCGACAGACGTTTCTGTAGCGTTTCGTAATTGAAGATTTGTGCCGCTGACGCCGAGGATTTCGATTGGTCAGCAGGATTTGGAGCATATGTGGCGGGCCAGAAAGAACCCAGATCGGAAGAAGATGACATAAAGGCCTCCATCATCGACGCGTTATCGTCAGTAGTTATTGTTGTCGCTGCTATTTTTGTTGTACTGCTACTTGTCCATAGATTCATCGAATTTGGCTACTTAGGTGTCGGCAGTCTGCAACAAATCATTAGATAGATTGAACAAACAATTGAATCAAGAAACTGGCAACCCAACAACAAACTTCGTAGTTGTTGCCAAATCAGATATTAGGTTTTGGGGGAAAGAGGAAGTGGGAAATGGAGTTTCAGAGAGATGAATTAGGGGATAGGGAGCGGCTCGCTAGTGGTTGTGAGAAAATAAGAGAGGATTCGTCTTAGGTTGATGGATTTGTGTTAGGTCTGCAATTTATTTGGGATGAATTTGAGCTGAATTTAGATGGGGAATAAAACTAAGTATAGAGAAATGGGTGGTGGTGGCTGTCGGCGAGGAATGTGGTGGTTGGGAGGAGTGGTTTTGATTTGGGGAAGAAGGAGATGGGTTGTGGTTTTATTTATTTTTATTTTTTTAAATTTTTGATGTAATAGGAAAATTGAGTTTTTATTCAAAATGCACTTGTCTTATGTGGTCAAATTATTAAATTTTTAATTTCTGGGGTCAACTGACGGTTTTTGGAGTCAAACTAAAAAAAACTGTCAATTTAGACTTGAGCTGCACATTTTTTAAAGGTTTGGTACTCACGGTGGCACAAACTAAAGGTTTGGGCAAAATCTGCTAATAAACGAAAAGTTTGGTACCTCGGCTGCAATTTTCCCTTTTATTTATTTTGTAGTTGGACTTTTATTTATGTTTTGGACTCTTATTTATGTAATTGGGCTTGTATAAAGGGTTTGCCCCATCCCGTTCTCTTTAGGGTTTTTTTTAAGATTTTGTTTTGCTATTTAAATCTAGTTTGTTGTGAAATTGAAACAATTGATGATTGAATAAAATATTGGAAGCTTGTGGTAAAATTCCTTTCTTCCTCCATTATTATTTTCCTTCTTATACTGTTTATTTTCTTCTGCCATCTCTATCTCTGATTTCTTCTTCCCTACTGAATTATTTCTCATATTCCATTGGGTGTTCTATTGGTCCTGCATCAGAGTGCCACACTGTTCTTAGCAGGAGCTACTTTTAAAACTTG